TCATCCATTTGTTTGGTCTGAAATGGATGGCATTGAGTTCAACCGTCCACGGATGATTCAAGAAATTGATATGAGATTCACTCCAAGGTGTTTTAAGTTAAATACACGTTGATCTACAGGTCAAGAATGCTCGTTCCTAGTGAATTTGCACATGTTTCCCTCTAATACATATTTCTGTTCTGATATATCGAAATTTCTAAAATACTAATACGTACACTTAATAAAATATCGCACGTCAATAAGTGATAATCAGTCCTACCAAATCAAAGATTATGAAACACTTCTAAGTTTCTGATTTTTTTTTACATAATAGATGAATTGAAAACGCTTGCGATTGTCGGAAGGTAACCCACCTGTGCTTTATTTCCAGCGAATTCGATAGATGAAAACCAATTTTTTGGTTTGAAGGCGCCTTGATCAGACTCAGAAACAAACACAAAACGTTCATTTGTATCATTTTTATGCGTTTCATAGTAGTAACGAGCACCCAGCAGACCTTGCTCTTCGGCTGTCCAAAATGCGACACGAATCGTTCTGGAATGAGAAGCGATATGGCTAACACGATTGAAATTCAGCGTACTAATAGTTATAAAAAATTAGAAATGTATTCGGGACATCAACCGTGAGCTTTCCGTGAACCTAACTGTTTCCTTGTCGTATTCAGTTGGAATTCATCGGAAAGTTTTCATTGTTAAGGTCTTATCAACGTATGGAAATGCGCTGCATGCTATTGTACGAAATCCTGACGATAACTGCAGAAAATATCTGCAAGAAAACAAATAAACAAATGAAACACGAACGAACCGTTTGGGAGCGAATATAGAATTTCTTTTCGCGAGTTGTTTCAGCGCATACAAAACACTCCACATGACCGCACAACCACCTCCATCGTCCAATGCTCCTTGTCCTACATCCCAAGTGTCCATATGTCCCGACAGAAGTACCACTTCAGACGGCATCTCGCTACCTTGAAACAGTTACGATGAGTATCCCTATTCCATATGATCATGGGAGATGAATGGTAATTCAGGATGAATGATTCCAATTGGTATCGTTTCAATATTGCATTAATTAAGCGATTCTTGTAAAGAAGTTAGGAAAGTGTTCGTTTCTGAAACGTGAATAGTTATTCGTAGACAATGTTCTAGGTGGAATGAAGCCTGTATAAATGAATCGTAATTGGCGATTCAACGTAGCAAATATAATCCAGCTTGATGCGCACATAAGATCTGTTCATTACTGTATTAATTTTTCTGGTTATGTAAATTACCCAAACAGTCGAGTTGTCATTTGCCCATGAAGCTTTTTGATCTCAATAGATTATACTACTGAATAGTTTTGAGAGGGATTTGAAAAATCGACAACAGCTCGAAACGCAAATATACACAGATGAGCATTCCATAGAAATGAACTGAACATGGAGCATTGCCTCTATAGGTGATCATTACCTTTGATTTCGAAGAGAATATTTCTGGAAGAAACATTTCCGTCTGGATGTGATTTAATATCCAGGTTAATGATGATTTTTTCACCTCGTTTTTGCATTCTATACAACATATCTGCTTCTTCTAGTGTGATCGTTAGTGCTGGTATTTTTGATCCTGAAAACTCAAATCGTTATAAAATTTTATTGTTCCAATCATTATTTCAATCGTTGTCTCCTTGATGGAAGTTGTGGGACTTTCCAGAAACAATCTTGTTCAATAAACTGAAAAGTTTTCATACGGGAGTAAATGTTTGCATTTACATTTAAGATTTTGCCGTTATCAAGCTTCTTGACGAATAAATTTCGTTCTTTAATTTCAGCTTACGAACTACTAGAACACCTTCAAATGGCACAACAAATATCCTATCAAGGATCTAAAA